ATTTGCCAATAGAGAGTGATAAGCATTCACAGTTCCTTATCCAAAACCTGTGGGTGCTCCAACGACCAAAATCATTCAGATTTTAGAAAGGTGCTCTTGACACCTATCATGTTTAACAGCCCCAGCAGAGTCTAGGGCAGCACTCTGCAATCAAACACATTAATATTTTTGCAGCAAAACATGAATATTCAAAATGAGCAGGATAAATATAGCATCACGTCAGTTCAGATCAGGTTTTGCCGCTAAATGAGTTTACAGCAAACCTTTTAGTTTTCAGGCCTTTTCAGACTTCATTATCACAGATAAGGGATTACAGACCTGTACCCCCCTCAGGGGAAGCTGTGAGGGTAAGAGAGATAAAGTCATTAGAGGTGCTTTCCGAAGAAGAAAATGCTGCAACCAATAAAAGGCATTATTAATATTATTGCTGTGGCCATCATTATTCTACAGCATGCCCTTTTCCAAACAGAGTTTAGTTTGACGTCAGAGGTTCTGGGCAGGATGATGAAAGAAAACCAAGAGTCTCAGGCAACCTCAAAAATCCCAAAAGTAGCCTAAACCAAGGTCAACACCTGTTGGCCTTGTACGTGATCAACCACTAAAAACAGAGCAGCCGACCATCTGAGAGAGACCAAGGCCAAGGGCCAGGCAGAACTCTGAAATCAGCCACATGGCTCACGCACCACAGAGCTGGCTCCACAAAGCCTCCAGGAAGGGCTGTACACATACATCCAGAAAGCTGGCTGAGACATTCCCTGTGGTTCCTGAGACTTCCCTTCAAAACCAGGCAGGAGTTGTGACGGTGTCTGTGCAGGACAGACACTGCAGGTGACCTAAGTGCTTATCTGTATAAGATCCAGGGGCCCCTGGAAACCAGACCCCACTGTGATTCTGCAGCTCTAAATTCAGAAACACATACGGACCAGGTTGTATGAGCCATGGGAGACTGGGGACTATAAATGAGGACTAGGTTCACACTTAAGTCTGCTACACTGTTCCCTGCAATCTTATCACACATGAGTGTGACTCTGAGAATGATGAGGTGCACCTGGTCCAGTTGAGCTGGTTCCTAGACCACATCCAGAGAAGCTTTTATGCACAACTGCTCCAGCCTTTCAGAATAAGAAAGGGAGAGTCCAGTGTTCCAGAATCCTGAGATGACCTTCCCCTTCCTCAGACATTATCCTCTGTAATGCGGACACACGGGTGAAGATCTGGGGACCCAAACCTTGCTCCTTCATCTGCCTCCAGAATACTGCTTATTTATCAGATCTTCTCACTGTTCTGACTTCCTTCTGGTTCATTTAGGTAAGTCAGTCCCATTTTATTTACCTGTGTGGTGCCTTTGCCTGGTCTTCCCATCCATCCATGACTACACTTAACAATGCATCCCTTTTGCACGCGTCGCTCCTGCACCGGATGGCTTGCACATCTTGCTGTCCACTGTAGGGATCAGGACCTACAACACCACTAAGTTTGATTCTATCTGTTGAGCCAACAGGTACCCCTCACTCCACCCCAGCTTGGGATCAAATCATGGGGAAACCTACCGATGACATTCCGTAATAAACTCCCTGCCTTCCTGCCTCACTTACCAGCAATCTACCTTCATTTCCTCTCCATTCCCTTCTGCCCCCCACCAAAAGAAGAAATGCAAGAAGGACTGCTGGGTATCCAATCTTTACCAACACTCAGGCCTGTTGGCTTAAAAATAAAATAAACCCTGTAGCCTGTTATTTCATCACTGATATATTTCCAGCAAATGACATGGCTTCCTGGCATCAAAATCTGCCCTTCCGATCTTTTTTTTTTTTTTTTTGGTTTTTTTGTTTGTACTGGTTATAGGACTGTGTTTTCTTCTACCAGAGCATTTCTCAGGCTGCTGATGGGTTGGCGGAAAGACAGAGAACAGTAGGAAAAAGGGAATAGCACATTAATCTTGGAGTTTTGAGGGTAAGGGGGAGAAAAAAGTCTTCCACAAAGTACATCTAGCTGGGACCTGAGGGGTTGCTGATCCGAGTGAGGGCCGAGCACACACTGGAATATTTTCTCCCCTTTCTGATTTCTGTAGACCCCCAAGTTTCCCACCAAAGGCACTGCCCCTGGCTCTAGCTTCTTGAGCTGCAACTGCTGACCTTCCACCCTCAGTCAAAAGCACATTCTTGGCCAGGCATGGTAGCTCACGCCTGTAATCCCAGCACTTTGGGAGGCCAAGGTGAGTGGATCACTTAAGGCCAGGAGTTCCAGACCAGTCTGGCCAACATGGTGAAACCCCATTTTTACTAAAAATACAAAAATTAGCTGGGTGTGGTGGTGCACGCCTGTAGTCCCAGCTGCTCAGGAGGCTGAGGCAAGAGAATCGCTTGAGCCTGGGAGGTGGGGGTTGCAGTGAGTCGAGATCGTGCCACTGCACTCCATCCTGGGTGACAGAGTGAGACTCTGCCTCAACAACAACAACAAAAAGCACATTCTCCCTGTCAGCAGCCCAAAGCGTGATGCCGAGGATTCCAGGGCCAGCGTCTCGCTGTCATATGCTCACAAGGACAGGGACATCCTCTGCACCACCTCACCATCAACACAACTCCCATGGAGGGTAGCCCTGTGGACACTACACACTAGAACTCAGAGCCGATGGGGACCGTGCAGAGATGACGCCTGAACAACACAGGGTACTAAGGGTCAGTTCTTCACTGCTGCAGTGACTATGTGCCCATCACAGCTCTAGTGATTTCTGGATCTTACTTCATTAATTCAGCACCAACCCTGTTGACTATCTCCATTTTAAGAAGTGAGTGAAACAAGGTCCAGAAAGGTTAAATAGCTATCACAGGCTCTCACCACTAAACACGGCCAATTTCACCATCCAGGCTCTTTGTAATATAACACGGCCAACCATCCCTCTCTCCCCAGCGGAATGAGGGTCTTGCCAAAGGGGAACTTGGAACTCTCAAGAGAGTGCTATCTTTTGTAAAGATAAGCAACCCTCTCAGGTAAAGAAAAGCAACCAGGAACCAGGACCTGATCAGAGTCAGAAAAACAATCACTTCCCACCATACCCCAGTTCTCATAGCACACAGCCGAAATAATGCACATCCGGAGAAGATGATACATGTATCTGGTCAAGTTTGGGGAGGGGGTTTCCTTTTTAGGAAAGTTTGAGCAACAACAAACACAACCTCAGTCTATTTCTGAGCAGTGCAAGCATCAAGACGACACACCTCAGTGGCGGTTATTTTCGCACCCACTGGAAAAAGTCGGCTACGTTTAGCTCTGCCACACTTTCCACAAGGTAAGCCTGTGAGCTGTTGAGGAGGTAGGGTCGGAGCAGATTCCAGCTATGGGTGATGAGATCAACTTCCAGATATCCACACCCCAACCCCTCTCACTCACATCCCCCATACCTGAATGAGCAACAGAGGAATGGGGGTGAAGCGGGGGAAGTGGGGAATCCACCCAAGGTCAGCAAAACAGCAGACCAGAGGGTGTACAGCAAAATGCTGTCATCAAGACAACAGAAAGGTGGATTTCTTGACTCCATTCATCTGACCCAGAAACTAGAGGGTAAAATGATGGGCATATGGCTTATGACAGAAGCAAGGAAAAAAAAAACAAACTCGCTATTGATTCCCTCTGTTATTTATTCCACTTCCAGTAAGCAATCTTCGAAACCCTCTGTTCTATAGACATGATCCTCTTCGAGCCTAAATGACTCCAAGAGGCAGCAAAGTACCAGGGGGTAAAGACCTAAATTTGAATCCAGCTCTGTCTCTTACTATCTATGTGACTCTGGAAAAGTGACTTGACATCTGAGCTTTAGTATAGTTCTATGTAAAAGAAGGACATTACCAGCCGGGCGCGGTGGCTCACACCTATAATCCCAGAACTTTGGGAGGCTGAGATGGGCGGATCACCTGAGGTCGGGAGTTGGAGACCAGCCTGACCAACATGGAGAAACCCTGTTTTTACTAAAAATGAAAAATTAGCCAGGCGTGGTGGCATGAGCTTATAATCCCAGCTACTCAGGAGGCTGAGGCAGGAGAATCCCTTGAAGCCAGGAGACGAAGGTTGCGGTGAGCCGAGATCACACCACTATACTCCAGCCTGGGCAACAAGAACGAAACTCCATCCCCCCCAAAAAAAGGGACATTACCTACCTCAAAGGGCTTCTGTAATGAAAATGCAACTGATGGAAAGTGCTTAGTACTGAACCAAACATGTCATAAGAGCTCAATGAATGGTTATTTCATAGAGAAGGAAACGGAAGCCGGAGGGAAGCCAATGCTAGCCTGAAGCAGCATTTAATTCAATGTGAGCAGAGATGGGATAAGAATGAGACTTCACAGCCTGCAAGAGCAAGACTCTTATACCCATCCTTTCCCCTTGCATTTAAATCAATTCCCCCAAATGCATGTGCAGGATCAGAGAATGAGAAGGGAGACAGAGCAAGGAGATGAATGCTCACCAGGAATAAGGTTTGGACCTGCAGCTGCTCTTGTAGCCTAAGTAGCCTCCAGCCCCTCCCATTCTCCCAAGCAGCAGAAAGGGACTGCCTGTCTTCACAGGAACCACTGCATGGGAACTTGAGGACCTGAAACCTAGGAAAATGATCAGATCCAGGCCCCAGGAGACCCTCATCCCACTTCCTTTTCTCCTTCTCTCCATGTTATCAGTCACTCCAAGCAAAGGAAAACAGACCAGACAGCAGAAAAAAACAAACAGGAGCAAAAAAGCAAAAAAACAGAGGGAAGGGCCTATTAAGAAGCTGGGCCCATGAGTGTCCCCTGGTGCCTTTGGGACAGATCCTAGGCCCCCTCACTACAGTCTAAAAACTCTGCTCCCCTCCCCATCCCCCTGAACTTTTGAAGAAGTATTTTGGTATTTTTACAAATTACCAAGAAGACAGGGGAGCCAGGCCCCTAATGTGGAAGCAGCCAGGGTGCGAAGGAAGGGTGTGAGGGCCTCAAGTCCCACATCAGGTGCAGGGCTGCAGCAGGGCCTACCTGTGCTGCTCCACAGCCTCGTTATCAGGAAGCTCGACGCCACACACGCTGCACTGCTCCCCGATGGTCCGGCTCTCTGACTTCATGCCCACAGCCAGCTCCCCCAGCTTGCTGAACAGCTCCCTCTGGATGAAGCCCTGGGGCAGCAGCCCCCCATAGGTGCTAAAGTCCATGGAGACTGCCAGGGCAGGCTGCACATGGAGACCAGAGGTCACCGAAGACGGCATGCTCAATACAGCATCGGCCTTGTGGTTGGGCAACACGGAGTAGATGCCCAGATGCTTCTCAGCCGGGGGTGCTGGGTGCTCAGGTCGGCTGGCGGGGGCCTGGCCAGCCTCAGCTGTGGGTGGCAGCTGCTCAGCACTCTCCTCTCGCCCATAGTGCAGCTCCCTAGCACTGGTGATGACACTGCTTCGAGTCGGGGTCCCGGGCCCCTCTTTGCCTCTTTCCTCAACCTTGTCCCCCATCCCTCCTGAGATGCTGGACTCAGCTGCCCCAGGGCTGTCCTGGCTGGGCACCTCATCTACCTGCATCATCTCCGTCTTCACCTCTGCCACCCCAGGGTGCCGTCCACCCCCAGCCAGAGTTGGCTCCTCGGGCCCCGCAGGTGGCTGAAGAGTTCCCTGCAGGAGAGACTGTCCTATGGTCATCAAACTGTCCACTGCAGCCTTGGTGGGACTCATGGCTGAAAGACCAAATGAGGTGGAGACGGAAGGGCTCTGGTCCACCATGGGCCCAGGGAGGCTCTGTCCAGCCACACTGGCATACCCACTCTCCTCGCTGGAATGCTTCGAGATGAAGATGTTCTTGAGGTACCGAGCCTTGCGGTCCTCTTCTTCCTCGGCCCCGCCGTCGGCCATGGTGGCCTCCGTGTCATTGTCATCTGAGGCCTGGATGGTCTCCAGGATCTTCAGGCACTGCTCCTCTAGGTACTCGATCTCCAGGATCTCGGCCGCATACAGCAGGTCATCCAGGTCCTCCGCCTTGGCTTGCAGCGTGGCTGTGTATGCATACTCCAGAATCTGCTGGAAGGTCTTTGGCGAGAGGAAGTCCAGAGTATAGTGCTGGCTGTTGCGGTGGAAGAGGATCTCAAACATCTTGCTGGTGCAGGCCAGCACCGTCCGGTGGGCGTGGAACTCCTGGCTGTCCACCATGATGACCACATCACACAGAGTCCCAGCCAGCCGCATCTGGTTGGCCTTGCACAGCAGCCCCGTGGGGTGGCTGGGGTTCTGCAGTTGGATCATGCCCATTTTTGTCAGATCCATGGTGCTCCCCTCGGCTCAGGCATGAGGCTCTCTTTCCTTCTGCGCTCTGCGTGGTGGGGCAGGGTGGGCTTCCTGGGCCAACAGAAGGGACTAGAGGAAAGAAGAGGGGAAGAAGCAAAAGAGATGAGAGAACAAAAGACAAATTCACGTGTCCCTAAAAGTAAGAATTTGACTGCTACAGCATGCCCCCTCCTCCCTCCTGCCAAGCCCCCAGCAAGAGGAACTTAGAGATTTTAATTGAAGTAGCTTCCCAGAAATCTACAAATCTGCCTTTCAAGCCCAGGGATGCTGAGAGTAAAAAGAAGGTTCTGCCACAGCAGATGCCTAATTCACTGCTCTATGACATCTGTTAGATGAAGTGAAACGAAAATGGCAGTGAAGTCCTGAGCGTCCTCAGCTTTCTCCATAGAGAGTAGGGGCTCCCTAGGCAAGTCCAACATTCATTATGACGAGGTACATTTACTTAAAATCAGCAAGACTTTAGCCTCTTCCTTATCAGCTTCACGCCAACCCCCTGGATATCAAACCTTATCTTCAAAACAAAGTTTTTCTAAACTCGGTCTCAGTGCAGGAGCCCCAGGAACAGAGTCAGACTCATTGGAGGCCAGCAGCCTGTAGTCGTGACCCACAGAAATCTATGGGCACTGGGCTCAACTGGGCTTTCCTCCCCAAAGCCTATCCTCTCACCATCAGCCTTGGCCTCTGGCCTTCTACTGTTCTCAGGGCTACAAAGCACTGGCAGATCCAAGCCCTGTCCCCATCTCAGGGTACTAACAGGAACACACACACAACCCACACACTAACTTGGGTCACTTCTACCCACGGAAGAGTCAAAGTTATTGAATATGTAATCTAAAATCTGGACTGTGTGTATGCGTGTATGTACATCAGCCAGAGACAAAGAGAAAGATGTGTATGGCTGGGCGCTGGTGGCTCACGCCCGTAATCTCAGCACTTTGGGAGACCGAGGTGGGTGGATCACTTGAGGTTGGGAGTTCGAGACCAGGCTGACCAACATGGAGAAATTCTACCTCTACTAAAAATCCAAAATTAGCTGGATGTGGTGGCTCACACTTGTAATCCCAGCTATTCGGGAGACTGAGGCAGTGAAATCACTTAAACTGGGAGGTGGAGGTTGTGGTGAGCCAAGATCACGCCATTGCACTCCAGCCTGGGCAAAAAGAGCGAAACTATATCTCAAAAAAAAAAAAAAAAGTGTGTGTACACACACACTTACATAAGGTGCTGTACCTACCCTCCTACCCATAACTGCCCAGTGGACAGGAGGATCTAAAAAACAAAGAAGGATGAGTCATTAAGGTATGGAGAGAGACAGTAGTAAACATGCGCCCCTACAGCCAGGAGTGCTCATGCTAGGCTGGGTGTGTGAACTCCACGTGTGTCCCACAGGCTCCAAGGAGTCTGCAAGTCCTGTGACCAGGGGCAGCAAGGGATGCTGGACATAGCTCAGAGGCGCTGGTAGTGATATGGGCACCAGCATCTGTGGTGTGAGTTACAACCAGTACCAAGGGAAGACAGGGCTGGGAAACAAAGGCCTCTCCCTGAGCCTATTCGGGATCAATAAGAGGGCTCCGGTACTCCAAATCCCGCTTAAGGAGTGTTAGAAAGACCGCCCAGGCCCAGGGCCCTCCCCGTGTCTGCCTTGCAGAGGCCAATATTGCAGTGACTGAACTGGGAGCAAGGAACAGCAAGGTCTCTCCCTCACTCTTTACTGCTTGCTTGCCTCCACCCTCAGAAGGAGCTCTATCAGTTCAGGAGCCTCCAAGCTCACACAGAAAGGATCCACAGGACGCCTGATCAAGACACTTTTGCTGCCCACCCCGGGGTGGGGACGGAGGCCGTCAAGGGTGGGATGACCATTCAGCCGAGCCTCTCCACCTCGTGCTTTCCCGCAGACATCGGGGCTTCTGAGAACTAGGAGGGAGCAGCCAAAAGAATGGACGCTTGGCGCCCCAGAACAAGCCGTTTGGGTCCTGAGGGAAATCGGGGCACCCTCAGACAGCCGTCTTCCCCACCCACCGCTCAGCGCCCGCGATCCGGCCGGAGCTGGCTGCAGCGTCCAGCCCGGTGACGCTAGGAGAGCCGGCGCTAACCCGCCACAGCTTCAGGATCGACCGCGCTCTCACAAGCCCTCAGTTCCCAGTGACCCCCACCGAGACTTGGAGACGACTTCAGCAAACTTGGGGAAGCAACTTTTCCCGAAGAGCTAGACGCCTGAAAGAAGAGCTGAGCTAGGGGCATGGGAAAGCGAAAGAGACGGGGAGGAAAAGCCACAGTCCGGGCGGGCTGGACTACGCGGCGGCAGGAGGCGGACCCGCCCCGCGGCGAAGGGGAAGCACAAAAGCCCCGCAGCGAGTTGTGGGAGGAAAGGCGAGAAGGGGTCTGCCGGCCCTCCCTCTCCGACCCAAGGCCGTGACCCCCAGGAGCGACCGGCTGGGTCCCGGGCCTCTGGCCAGCAGCGCTCGCGGCCGCGGCCGGCGCGCCGGGCCCAGGCTGGGTGCGAGCGTCTCGGGAGCCGGCGAGCGAGTCAGTGCGGAGCGCTCTGTGCGTCTCGGTGGGTCCGCGTGCCGGCGAGACTGTGCGCATTTCCAGCGCGTGCGGGAGTGTGCGAGGCGCAGTGCGAGCGAGCGGCGGGCGCGCCAGGGTGGGAAAGGCATCCCGAAAGCATCAGGTGCAGAGCCTGGCACCCACCGAGAGCGGCCGGGAGCGCACGGCGAGCTCCGGCGTCACCGCCCGTCCCGCCGAGAGCCGAGGAGGGCCCGGAGCGCTGGAGAACCTCTGGAGCCCCTCTGGAGCTTCCCTCCCTCCCCTGCAAAAGGGGGATCAATTTTAATCAAGAAAAAGCCCACCACGTTTTTTCAAAGAGAAACAAAACGTAAGCCGTCCCAGTCCTGCTCTCCTCCGCCCCCACATCTACTCGTCAGCTTCTCCAATTCTAGCTTCCCAGTCGGCCGGCGAATAAACACACAAATAAATAAACCACAACCTTATCTCGCGCCCGCGCACCGGTCGGCATACATGAGAGCACCCACGGGCTCTGCTCCTCTGCCGGCCCCTGGCAGTACAAAGCCTCCGGATCCCCGACCCTCTGCTCACGCCCTCAGCCCCCGCAGACCGCTACGCCACCCACCTCTCACCCCGACCGTGCCCCGGAGAGGAAGGGCTGGGGAGGCAGCTGCGCCCAGGCTGACAGCCGGGGCTCCCCCTTCCAGTCGATCCCCAACCGGTGGCGGCGACGGCTGCAGCGGCAGTAAGGGAACACGCCAAATAAAAAAGGCACAAGCCCAGCGGCCGAGTGGCCGAAGCGAGCGCGCGCCCCCCAGACCTCTCCAGCCCCGGGGGGCCCTGGCGCGCGGCGCTCGCTGGGCGGTGCGCCTCTCCCCGGCCCTTCACTCACCGCAGCCGAGCCGGGCACTGTGGGGTGGGTGTGCGTGCCTGTCGGGGGGTGTGTGCCTGTGTCGGGGAGGGGTGTTGCTGGGGAACTGTTGCTCTCCGTATCACGGCGGCAGCGACGGCATCGCCCGGCAGTTCGCAGTACCCGCTCTCATCGCCCTCAACTCCTCTCTGCTGCGAGGTTAGCAAATCACCACCGGCTGCTGCGCCTCCGCCGCGTCCCACGTCAACGCCGAGCCCCCTCCCCTGCAAGGCCCCGGCGCCTCTCCATCTTTAGTGCTGGCGGCCGAGCCCGGCTCCCTGCCCACAGCTGCCCCCCTTCCCTCCCCCCTCCCGCGCCGTCCCCGGGCTCAGCCCGCCCACCACCCCGCACTGGCCGAGCCCGCGCGCGCTCCCCGCCCCACCCCTCCTTTCCCCTCCCCTCCCTTACCCGCGCTCCGCGCTCCGGGCTTCGCCTGACATCTAGCTGCTGCTGGGGTGCCGGCGGCCGCCGCTCACCGGCCGAGCAGAGAGGAAGCAGGGAGCTAGAGGACAGGAGTGCAGGGAACTCGGAACCCTTAATGGGGGAACTGAGGGTGAAGGGCGCGCAGCAGCCCCCACCTACTCCCAGGATTTTAATTTCCATCGGATACGGGTTTGTGCCCCCTCCCCCGCACCCCGATGCTCAAGCACGCAGTTTTGTCCACTTTTCCAATCTTTGCCCCAATTCAGTGCGTGTCATCTCGCCTTTAACTTTTTTTCTCCTGGCTCGGGGCTGCATTCCTAGTAGCCCCTGACATCAGTTTTAAAAGGCCGCTTTCCTAGCCCAGGCTTGGGCCTCTCATCCTCCTGGCTCCTGCGCGCCTCCCGGCTTGAGCATCCGGATTTCAAGAAGTCTCCAGATGCAGAGTTCACAGGCCCTGGTAAACCAGGTGCCAGAAGGTCCGCGGGGATCTACTGCCGAAGCGAGACGCCCCTTTTTAGCTGTCGCGGTTGCTGGAGGCCAAGGTCGAGTCCTGGGAGAAACTTTTCTCTCTCCTAGACTTGGACAACCTCTCAGCTCTGTCCCGCCCCCCCACACACACACACATACACACACACACACACACACACACACACACACACACAGAGCAATCTGGGTGGAAACAGTTCCCTAGAACTGTCCCCAGCTCAGCACACAGTCTTCAGGGGGCAGGGGAAAGCTTGGAAAAGCTCTGGGCCCCTCAGAAGTGCGACCTCCTCTCAGCTGGCCGCCCTACTTTAAAGGTAGAGCAGCCAAAGAAAATGTACCCTTCCTTCCTCTGCTCATGTGAAGGGAAAAAAGGGAAAAAAATTTTTTGGAAAAATAAAAAGAAAATGTACCCTTCCTCTGACTGCAGAAAGCTGCCGTCTCCCCTTTTCCCTGGAGCTGAGTGAAGGTAGGGAGCCAGAGGCACTGGCTGTGGATTCTGACTGAAGCCTAGGAGGTTGGGATGGGAGGTGGGGGTGGCCGAGAACGCCATGCAGGGGTCTCAGGCTAATCAGCCCTCGAGGTCACGCGGTTTTAGCAAGGCGGGGCTTACGCCACCCAGGCCTGACCTTGCATATTCCGTCCATGACTCGTGGGTGGGCCAAAGGTTTTCCGCAGGACTAACCTAGAATCACATATCCATACGTGCCTCTGGCATTGCTGCAGACCGAAGGGACAAGTCACTGCCCCAGACCCAGTCCCATGAACTGTAGGGTCATGGAAAATGGCAGAAATCTGTATCTGGCCGCTGAAGGTCGGGCGGCAGAGTGTACACATCGGAACTGATCCGGGTTCACAAGAGTCATTCATGAGGCAGCCCCAAAGACGGGTCATTCCATCCCAGCAAGAGCCACTCCTGGCTCCCAGGAGCAGGGAAAGCTCAGCCCAGCAGGAGTCTGCAGAGAGAGCTGGGCAGGGGAGCACACCTGAGTGAAGGAAGGGTTCTGGATACAACCACATCAAACTCAGGGCAAGGGGAAGGGGGAGCCAGTCCCTGGGTATTCATTTCATTAACAATGAAGAGCAATTCCTATTTAGAGACTACCTATTTTTCTAACTACGGTCTATATACCTGTTAGAGGAAAGAGATTTAAAGAAAGGCAAGAACTGGTCTGCAAGGAGAGCAGGAGTGGAGGGATGCAAGAAGAGAAAAGACTCTCCTGGTGCCTCACCAGGGAAACAGAAGAGAGAATCCCTACACTTGTTGAGCTTCTGCCTACATGGTGCCTGCTGAAGATTTCCACTTTGCTGTCCACATCCACCTACCAGCCTCTCCTCAGTGTAGTGGCAAGAGAAGCACACAATTAACCCCTGATCCTAATCTCCTATTAATCCTCAAATCAGGGAAAGAGAGAATCTCTGGAAACAATGAGATAGAAAGCACAATCCTCCACGGCCCTGGCCTCCCCAACCCGGTGCCATATTCACTCTATGTGAAAATCTCCCTTGCTTCATAAACTCTGCCCATTAAAAAGCCCAGCCCTTGTTAGTAAGTGTTAAAGAGAGATTAATGCCTGAATTTAAGAGGTGGAGAAGGTAACAAAAAGGAAGAAGGCCAGCGAGGCTGTGGGCTGAGTGCCAGCATTGGGCTCCAAGCATTTCCACTCAGCGCTGAAGGCTGGCTGCACAGCAGTTTGATAAGGTTTATTGGGCCCAGATAAAGCAGCAGCAGCTCCCCCACCAAAACTGGCACCATTATAGCCAGAGCTATGTCCTTGGGTCCTGGGAAGGCTGATGAGAATCCTCAGTTCAGAGATTTCATATGGCAGCACCTAAAAACAAGCAGAATGGAAAATTACAGGCGAATACTCAATCTCCAGCGTGCACGCCCGCCCGCTCTCTTTCTGTCTGTCTCAGGTTCATGTATTTAGAGTGATTTTTCTTTTACATTTTTTCTTGAAGGGTCTACTAAAGGAAACCTGGGTATCAGTACTAAAAATACAGGATCAATCTTAGGGGGAGATCATGCTAGAGACGAAGGAATAAATGAGCTGGACTTTGCCTGGAATTCCATTGCTAAATCTTCTTAATCCCTCATCTCCTCCTTTACCCATATACCTCCCACCACTGGCAGCCTTTCAGAGCTCAGTTAGTGGAAGAGGAAGGTATAGCAGTTCTAAGAGATCATACAGGAAGGAGACAGTGAAAATAATAACTCATTCGGAGCACTGACTATGAACCTTAACACGTTACCTATGTTGTTTTATTTAATCCATATAGCAGCCCTATTAATGCAGGTGCTATTATTTTCCCAATTTCTGTGGACGTGAAAACTGAGGCTCAGAGAGATTAAGTGCCTTACTCCAGACTGTAGTTCTATTAAACATCAGAGCTGAAACTTTAAATCAGACCATTCTGACTGCAAAGTTCATGCTCTTAACTTCTAGATTACATAGCCTCTAGTGAAATAGATCAAGGAAACAAGGACTTTTAATTTTCCTTCTTCTCTTACTCTACTGAGGCCAAGATCTATGCAGCAGCCAGCCAAGCTGCGACCGAATGGTTCTCAGCTTGGTCACCAGATAAACTTAGATTCCCCCAGGACCTTATACTTTTTCTCCTCCTCAGAATCTCAGGCAGAAGTTGGGGAGGGGGGTTTGAGCTATCAAAAAAAAACACTTCAACTAAAGAGGTAGGAAGAAGAATATAATGGTGTTTTGAGTATTCTGATTAAGTGCGAATGGAATGTTGCTACTCTTTAAGTTCCAACTCTTAATTTGGAGCATATATTTAATTTTTTTTATTTCAAAGTAAACTTTCCTATCATGATAAATACATCAAGGATTCCTACCTTTTGGGGAAGAGGTGCTACTTTGCATTCCCCCCAAAACTTATGAAGAGTGGAGAATGAAGCGTGTTTAGGGAGAGGTACAGGTAGTGATGCCCCTGAATAGAGGAAAATTCTCTGCAGCTGAGAACTCCAGACTGCCACTGGGGAACGCACCAGGGCATCAGACCTTTACCTACTAAGGACTGTTAAGAGAAGACACCGAGAGCCTATTGTGTCCTTTTCTGGAGTCCAAAAAATCTTTCAGTCTCACAGTCCTTCAGATCATCATTCCAGACATCTACTATAGCACTGTAGGTAATGTCAACAATTAGGCAGAGTAGGCCAGGCACAGTGGCTCATGCCTATAATCCCAGCACTGTCGGAGGCTGAGGCAGGCAGATCAAACTCCTGAGGTTAGGAGTTCGAGGCCAGCCTGGCCAACATGGTGAAACGCTGTCTCTACTAAAAATACAAAAATTAGCTGGGCATGGTGGCACGCACCTGTAATCCCAGCTACTTAAGAGGCTGAGGCAGGAGAATCACCTGAACCCAGGAGGCGGTGGCTGCAGTGAGCTGAGATTGTGCCACTGCACCCCAGCCTGGGTGACAGAGCAAGATCTCATCTCAAAAAAAATAGGTTGAGTAGAATTTACTCGTGTATATGTTGACATTTTTTTTGTTTGTTTTTAAAGTTTAATTCTTTCACATTACTTCCTTAGATACCCCCTCCAAAAGGCAGAGGGGGAAATAATCAGGTGATGTGTGTGTTCTGGTCAACTGAAGCTCAGCAAACCAAAAAATGGCTTCTTTGATTAGTGATTGCCATCATCCCTCACCCCCACCTCACCACCACCACCATCACCACCCCAACCAACAGAGGCCTAGGTAGTGGTGTTTACAATCTTGAGTTTCTCTTCCAGGTGCCAAGTATGCCCTTCCCTCATCTGTAGAGCAGAGAGTGACTTTTCAAAAGGGTAGGAGAAGGGATTTTTTTTTTAGCCCCTGAGTCCTTAGGTCACTGTGACCCCAAGATCTTCGTAATCGAGGAAGAAAAAGCTTTTTCTTCTCTCTCTATCTCTTTCCCCAGCATATTGCAAATGGTGTTGGGACCTAATGTTGTCAACTCAGATAGCAAATCTGAGTTGTTATTAGTGCAAAGATGCCCTAAGGGGGTAGGCAATGAGGATGAGATCTGCAGCAAATGTTATGGGGGAGTGTGTTTATAATTATAATGGGATTTAATGTACACTGGGACCAGATGATGGCAGCCATTTAAAAAAGAGATGCTTAATAAGAGAGGTCCCTTAATGACAGGCAGCAGGGCTCAGGATATTATGGAAGAAGCACAGTGTTTCACTGGGTGTCACAAACCATGTGCCAGGTTTTATGGGGTTCCTAACAAAGCTTTGGGGTGAAAC